CCCCGCTAAGGAGCCTAGCTGCCTCTCGGTAACGACTCGTGGGAAACTGACAAACGGCCGGACTCGGGGGAGAAGGGGTTACTTTGTCGACGGCGTGAAAAAAATAAAATAACATAATAAAATTAAAGTAAGTGTAAGGGAAGAAGAAGAAACGAGCGCCTAAGTCGATTAAATTTGAAGAGCTCTGCGCCAGAGAAATGAAGGCCAAGTTTGCAATTCTGGAAATATTTTCCCCGTCGTTTCCGGGTTTGAATCGCCACATAAAATTAGTAAAAACTTAGACAATATATAAGTAATGACGAAGAGAAGGCGTTCAGTGTCACGGTGTCACACTTTTAGAGCTTAGAGTTGTTAATACTCTATGATAAAATACAAAACATGTATCTTTCCAATGTACAGTACCCTTTCATTTTGTAACAGTCTATTTAAAGTCAAAAAGCTTTTTCAATGGTTTTCTTTTTTTTTTTAATGTGCACGTTCATTGTTGAACATGTTCGCAACTCTGTAATTTTTTAAGAGGGTCAGTTGGTAAAAAATGCTACATTGGCCTTTTTTAACCCTTGTTACTCGAAAACCATGTCTGTCATGCATGAGGACTTCATTTCGTCGGATAGATTGTGTCTTTCTGAAAAAAAAGGGAAAATTTCGCAAATGGCTGGATGGTTTGGCCTCCGGAAAAGTTGCAAAATAGTGCCGAAAACGTGTACAAATTTTGCGCGCACGATATCTTCAATATGGTTTTTTTCCGAGGAGAATAATGTTTTGCCCACATTACTCTCTTATATACCTACAGATTGACACAGGATATTTAGAATGGAATCAATAATTTAAAAGTTAACTATAAGTGAAATTTTGGCTGGAGTAAAATTTTGTACGAATCTAAATTTTTATTTCAGAAATGGTTTTGAATTTGAACAAATCCCTGTAGTTATATAAGAGAGATACAGGGTGGTCCACAGACCCCTTCCTTTATTTTGCTTATATTGTACCGCATGCATGCGTGTGGGCGGGCTTGCCTACTGTCGCTCACCACGGGCGCCTTAGGCCCCGTGCGAGTATGCAACCCGTTTGCACGCCTGCATCCGGTACAGTATAAGCAAAATAAAAGGAGGGGTCTTTGGACCAACCTGTATGTGTGTAAAATATTATTTTCCTCGGACAAGCCATTTGGAAGATACCGTGCGCGCAAAATTTGTACACGTTTTCGGCACTATTGTGCAACTTTTCTGGAGGCCAAACCATCCAACCACTTGCAAAATTTCACGAACATTTTTCTTTTTTAGAGTGTCACAAACTTTTAGAGGGAATAAAGTCCTAATGTCTGACGGACATGGTTTTCGAGTAACAAGGGTTGAAAAGAAGGCCAATTTAGCATATTTTTACCAACTGAACCCCTTAAACGATTTCTTCAAGGAAAACCTCGAGGAAAATGTTGCAGTATATGCTTCGCATGTTTCACTGATTGGTGCAGCTTCCGTCCCTGGGGTCGTACCTTTGGGTTTCCAGGGGTGGGCGCTGTCCTCACCTGTGCCCATCCTGCCCCTGTTCTGTCGGTTCTCCTGGAGCAGGTGCTGGAAGATGTCCAGGCGTGGCCTGAGGGGCAGGTTCTCCTGGCCGGGGGCGGCGCTGGGGGCGGGCGGCGGCGGCGAGGTCCTGGGGAAAGGCGGGCCCGACCCCGCGGGCCGAGGCACGGACTGCACCTCCACGGTCAGGCGGTGCCGACCCTCGGCGGGGCCCTCATGTGGCAGTCACTCACTACGTCACTCGCTCGCACTCACTACCACTCACTGTCACTCACTATCGCTCACTGTCACTCACTATCACTCACTGTCACTCACTATCGCGGTTCACTTGTCACTCTCGCTCGCTCGCGGGCCGTTCCGGGCCGTGACCGCTCGCGCTGCCCGACGGTCTCGCAGTGGAGCGGCGCGCTGGGGAGGGTGGTGCTATATACCGCCACCCCCACCCCTCTGCTAGCGCCACCCCTAGTGACTCCGGCCCGCCCCGGTCCCGCCCCGCCACACCCCTCGTGATCCTGGACCACCCCACATGTTAGCCAGCTCGACCTGGTCCTCGGGCACCCCATCGCCTACTCATCCCTGCTACCCATCCCCCATCTTCCACGTCACGCCTTGAAAATGCCTATTGATTAGGTACGCGTAGCTAAAGGCTAAAGGTTTGCCTATGTCGCAGAAAAATTAGGTATCTAGCTGAATATTTAGACTGTAAATAATATTTAGCTTTGCAGATAAAAACAGCTTACTTTTCAGCTAAATGGGTCAGGAATTTGTTTTAGCCTGTATTTAGATATACGTATCTAAATTTTTAGTTATCTAATTTTTAGCTAAATAGCCAGATAGCTACATAGCTAAACATAGCTCTTATTTTTAGCTCCAATAGCTGAGTAATTTGCTACACGGTATTTAACTGTTGGTGTAGCTATTCAGGTCATCTTTTTTTTCCGTTCGTGCATACCGCGCTCCCATTCTTATCACTTGTGCTGGCGGCACCCGGCCCGCGTCCTCTCGACGCGCCCGGCCCCGGCCCGCTCGGCCGTGGGGAGAGCACCAGGTGACAGATGGAGAATGGAGCAGAAAAAACACGCTTGGTACGGGTCATGCCCTGGAGCCGAAGGGGTGGGGGCTCACTGCAGCAAACAACCGCCCCCACTATACATAACAGGGAAACAAGTGCTCTTATAAATAGTATTCCAGGAGTCTGAACTTCCATAGGGACACTTTGTTCGGTATTCGCAGGCAGATCGTGAAACATTATCACTGGGCCACTGGACTGTTGGGGGAAGAACAAGCAGGCCCGCCCTTCCGCCAAACGAAGTTGCCAGCTCCGCTTCGCTCCGCCGGCAACTCCGTTCGGCAGGGGCCGGGCCTGCTTGGCCTGCCGGCGGCGATGGTCGGGCCTGCGGCCCGACCATTTCT